ATACAAAATATGACAGTGATAATCTCAGGTAATGATTATGTGCTTTATTCAATGTTAAAAGTGTCTAACGTGAGTTTGAATATTATTTTGCGTTATCTTTATAGCCATAGTGAAAGCAACAATAGATATTTTACCTCAGATCTTGAAAATAAATTAAAGCAAACTTGTACGTTAAAACTGTAAACTCACTGCGAACCAACATGTGTATTCCGTAACAAAGATATCACTCACTCACTCACTCACTCACTCACTCAAAACTGTTCAGTCCATTCACATTTGAATCATTAGCTATTTTCCGTGTCCACTTTTCTTTTCTACACACTCGCCATGTTTTTGCTGTCACATCGTATCTACACTGGACGCGACAAAGCATTGCAAATCATTTGAACTTTGTGTCAGTACATTATAAATAGAACGAGTCAGCAGTTTACTGTCGGGGATTTGTAGTGTAGCGTCGCATCCAAGACAGCATCACTGATTATATAACGAGTTCTAGGCTATTGTATTTGATTGCATCCGGTGTAGACACGATGTAAGTTAATGTAGCTTTCTGATGCTGCATTTGAATTTTCATGCCACATTATTTGAAATTAGCGCGGGCCAAACTTTTTTCTCTCACGGGTGACAGGCCGGATGTGGCCCGCGGGCCGCCTATTGAGGAACCCTGCCTTAAATTAATCAAACGTGACGGTAAAGACGTGTTTTAAAACATTTCTTTTACAATTAAATGCTGTTCTTTTGAAGTTTTTATTAATCAAAGAATCCATAATGTATCATGGTTTCCACAAAAATATTAAGCTGCACACCATATGATTTCAACATTCATAACAATAAGAAATGTTTCTTGAGCAGCAAGTCATCAAATCAGCACTGAAGACTGGAGGGATGGCTGCTGAAAATTCAGCTTTGCCATCACAGGAATAAAAAACATTTTATAATAAATTAAAATAGAAAACATTCATTAAGTTGTACAGTAATTATATACAGTTTTCATTGTATTTTTTGAGCAAATAAATACAGCAGTGGTGAGCATAAGAGACTTATTTCACAAACAAACGCCATGCTTCGCTGTTTGAGCTACAGATTCAGGATGCTATGCAGATTTTTATTGTATTATTTAGATCAATTACAATCTCTTGCTGTGCTGTAATTTGTATGTCTTGATTGATCAATCCGTCAATTGCAATTATTTTTGTGTGTTACTAATAAATTATGAACGGGGTAAATCTTTTGCCATTAATTGTGCATAATTACATTCTACACTGCACATTGCTCGTCATCTGCAGTCATTGTATCTTGAACTAATGCTTCACTTCTCTTTTTCCAGGGTAAAGTATTTCCTAAGCTAAAGAAGAGATGTCCACAGGGATCCTCAGACTCTGTCTCAGACAAAGAAGAGGAAGAAGCAACAGATTATGTCTTCCGCATTGTTTTCCCAAACAGCCAGTCAGAATTTGGTAAGAGACTGAATCTTGGTATTAAACAAGCTCTTGAGCCAGTAAATGTTTCCGATTATGGTACGACTATTATTCAGCTTTTAGAAGTGGATAATAGGAAAAAGGGCCTCTTGTATCCATCAAGGTATTGTTTGTCATTTTGGTTTTTATCCATTTGTGCATCATCCATCAAAAACATTCCTTTGGTTTTACTGAAATGTTTTGACTCATTACAGTTACTTTTACCCAGTCCTCCCATCTCTCCCTGGGTACTGTACTCCTGGCCCGATCTATCTCCCTGAACTACAGGGGGCTGTGGCCTCCTAAACGCCAGACCCTGGTGATGTCAAAGCACCACTGCAGCTGCCCGGGAGAGTCCCCATCCTCCTCTGAGCCCAGCTGTAATTCTCCATGCCACCTCTCATCTATGTGTTCATGTATCTGTCTGACGCACCAACTTCTTGCTGGTTTGCTTGCTTTTATGGCCTCTAAATCTGCAAGTTTTCTGTTTTGTGCAGGAGTCGTCCTCCAGTGAAATTCAGTGACCTTTGGTTAATTGTGGGCTAATGGTTTAGTGTTTTCAGGGAGCCTTGAAATGTATGTTTACTGTATAATGACCCATGTGTGTTTGTAACAGTAATAGAGGCTTTTAAATCTGACCTAAAATGTGATCCTGTTAATTTTGTGGGCCACAGCAACCATTATTACTTCATGAAATCCATGAAGACTGATATTATTGCAGTATTTTCTTGTTTGTTTGTTTGTTTGTTTTAAGCTGGGTGTAATAGTGGGCTCTTGTTGCTCTGCTTGTGGCTAAATAAGTTCCTTTTTGTATCCAGATGGTCAATGCATAATCAGATTTCTCTGTGTGTGCTTGTCTGTTAGTGGCTCCAGAATTGATAGATCAGGGAATAAACATGTGGCACCCAACACCAAGGAAATCATCTTGCTCTTCCTGCTCACGGAGTAGTTTCTCTGATGGAGCACCACCCAATGGATGCAACCATGAAAGGTACGATGACAGAATGTAATATTGTATAGTCCAGAAGTTATAGAAGTAATTTTGATGTATTTAATTAGAATTGAAAAGAAACCTGCAAATAAACAAGAATAATGGTCTGAGGTACTCACAGTAGAATTTAAATTTAAATATTATTTATTTTTTTATTTTTTTACATTTAAATTCACTCAAAAATCACAGTTAGGTATTACTTTATACCCAAGTAACACCTGGTTTACATGTAAAAACTATAAATCTAAATTACATAACTGTTAAATTTATATTTAAGGAAAAAACATTATCTCATCTGCAGGGCCCCTCTGAAGTTGCTGTGTGACAATATGAAGAACCAGATCATCTCTCGAGCTTTCTATGGATGTTTGTATTCATTACTCATACATTTATAGTCTCACAACACCATCTTTTTCCATCAAAGGTGACCTTCACATTCTTGAGTGTCTCCCTTATTCAATCAATCAAACATATATTTTGCCCTCTCAGGGCTGGCGTACTGCCGTCTCCTGTCCACGGTACGCACTCACCTGTCTGGCCTTGTCAATCACACTATTGTGGAACCAGATGTGCCCACTGACGCCTATGGTGGCCTCACAACAGAAATGTGGCAGAAGTTTCTTCAAGACTGCACTGTACGTGCACACACACACACACACACACACACACATATACATGAACCTGCCTGGAGTCCAAAGCAGACAGGTTCAAATGAGTCTTCACCAGATACTCATTAATATTTATTTGTCCCTAATCACAGTTCTCTCATTCTCATCACATAAACAGTATGTTTGGATGACTAATGTTGAGAGCCTGAGTGCCAGAGTGGCGGCACTAAAGGATGAAAATCGATGTAAAATCCCTTATGGCTGTGATCGTTAGTGTTCTTATACTGGCAGACTAATTTATACTCTAAACAGCCAAACCAATATGTATATATATTTATTTTTTTATATATTTTTTTTTAATGATTTAACTGATTAGCATAGTAAAGTGGTGAGAAAATGTAAATGTAAATAAATTCAAGTACCATTTTGTGCTTGGAAGTCAGTTTACCTGTTTTGGAGTCAGTGTATACTTGCTCTTTTGCAGACCTATGAGGAGAAGGAGTTACTGAGGCTAGTTTATTTCGGTGGAGTTGAGCCTTCTTTACGAAAGGAAGTCTGGCCTTTCCTGCTGGGTCATTACCAATTTGGGATGTCTGAGGCTGAGAGAAAAGAGGTGTGTATTTTTTTTTGCTTAAAATTGTCCTCCCAAACAGTTTTAAGTTGCAGTCACATTTACATTGCTAAGTGAAATTTTGCATGAGAAATCCCTATGCAGATTTTTTTTGCCAGTTTTTGCCAGCAAACTTAATGTGACCATGACTTTAGTCTTTATTCTCTTTAAGATTTCCAGTGATTGCCCTGGAATTTGGCATTTAATTATTTTTAGTCCGCTCCTTTCTATTGCAAGATTAATTACATTTCAGATGGTTTGTGAATCAAAGCACTTGTTCCATTGCCATCAAATAGCTTTCATTGTAAGATAATCTCCTCTTTACGTGTTGCCATTTCTGAAACTCTGAACTGCAGGTGGATGAGCAGATGCGAGCGTGCTATGAGCAGACGATGAGTGAATGGCTGGGGTGTGAGGCCATTGTTAGGCAGAGAGAAAAAGAACAGCACGCTGTGGCGTTAGCCAAGTGTTTGTCTGGGGCGAGTATAGACAGCACCACACAAAGAATAATGCACCGTGACTCCACCATCAGTAATGAGGTGAACGCAAAAGACCTAAGACCAAAATATATTGTTTGCAGGCATTGAAGACTTTCATTCCAGACTGAAATGTTTGCTTTTGATTTTTTGCAATATTTACTTCAGGATGTGTTGTGTTTGTCATTCAGTCCTCGCAGAGCTGTAGTTCAGGCAGGCAAAGAGATTCCAGGCTGCAGAGCGACTCCAGCAGTGGTACTCAAGTAAGCCTCACACTGATGTTGTGGCCAATACATGAATATTTGTTGTAATAGTTGCCATTGTTTTTAAAACTTAACTGGTTTTATTTTGACTGATGTTCCTCACCCTCACACTCTTTCCTGGTAGTTCTTCACTTCTCAAAACCCCTTCCCCTGGAGTAGCTTGCTTCCCTTTGGTTTGTTTTTCCAGGTGTTTGAGTCTGTTGAAGAGGTCGACCAGATTGAGTCTGAGCCCAAGAGTGAAGACATCAAACATGTTTCCAAAATCTCAAATGGAACACCCCAAAATGGCACCAGTTCTCCAGACTCTGGTCACCCCTCTTCCAGAAACTTCTCCGTTACTTCTGGTCAGTCGGACTCCTTGAGCACAGAGGACAGTGGGATACATGACCCAAGCCTTAAAGCCCAACTACAGCTAGCAGTATCAAAGGAAAGGTTTGCAAGTTCATCTGGAGAGGAAGGAAAGGTGACTGAGGAAGTTGAGACCAAATCGGTTGAGAAACTAGGTGTGAGAGAATATAGTAAAATTGAGGTTAACAAAGTGTTGTCTTTGGATGCAGTTGTGACAAAATCAGAGAGAAGCAAGAAGGCCACAGAGAGCTCAGAGAAAAGGGCAGAGGTCAAGACAGGGGGGTTGAAAACAGCTCGAGATGCTTTTGAGGCTCCTGCAGTAGCTCGCAGCCACATGACCAAAATGGAAGTGGGCGAATCTACAGAGAGAACTTTGACATCAAAAAATAAAGCACTGGCACAGCAAACTGAGTCAGATATTCCCAAAGCAACAGAGGTCGTGGAATTGACTCCTCCAGAGCCAAAGATGAATGAGAATCGGGTAAATGTGGACATTGAAAGGTCCCAAATGGGAATTAAAGATATTAGAGCAATCCAAGAGAAACCTTTGGTAACAAAAGATCATAAATTATCAGATGCACTTGAGCAGAAGGTTGTAGCTGTCACACTGGTGTCTGTTTCAAAGGACGGTGATACAGAGAAAGAAACGGCGAAAACCAATGAAATAAGCCAAGTTAAATACTCCAAGACATACATGGATGATGCCAACAATATTAGTGGCTCACAAATAGCTTTAAGACCAGGTGATGAGAAAGAGAAGAAGACTATGAAGACCAGTGATTTATCCAATGAAGCTGGAACCGCAGTAAAGAGGAAAGCAGCATCAGTTCTCTCAAAAACCACTGGTACAGAGCAAAGAGAAGAGAAGGTTGTTACAATGAGGACCACACACAAAGAAATGCAGCGGAACGCTCCAGTAGTTGAGGAGATGGTGGTTCCTTTGGTGCATGAAGCTTTTAGCACAAGAGAGATGGGTGAAGCCCAAGATGCAACCGAGTCAGACGAGTCTCCCTCTGCCATTGAAATGGAAGAGATTCCTACAGCTAAAGTGTCCATGGCCTGGGAAAGGAAGAGTTCACCCAGAAGCAAGGGTAATGAGCAGGCAGCTGTACCTGTATTGGAACTCAGGCTGGAGGAAGCTCATGGAAAGCCTAGCTCTGACGGAATGAATTCTGAGGAGCCAGAGATGGAGAGTCTTTGCCCACAGCTTGATTCACTGGCTGTGAACACTACGGATGAAGCTACCTCTCCAGTTTCCTCTATAGGCACCACTTATTCTGTAAGCACATGTTTCAGAGAGGTATTTTTATATTAATATAGTTAACTATATCTATTATCTATATAAATCTGTTCACCTTTGTAATTGCAGCAAGAGCTTTTGGACATGTACAGTCTGAATCTGCACCGCATTGATAAAGACGTTCAGCGCTGTGACCGAAATTACTGGTACTTCACACCTGCTAACTTGGAGAAACTACGCAATATCATGTGCAGGTAATAAAATCATTCCTTTATTGGCCTTCACTGTTTGTGCTTTGCTTTCAGTTGTTTTGTTTTTGATCAAAAATACTGTAAAAACAGTAATATTGTGAAATATGATTACAATTACATTTTTTCAGGATTATTTTGTTAATAAAAATCTCAAAAGAATAGAAATAGAATTATTTTAAATAGAAGTCTTTTGTACTATTATAAGTCTTTAGTACTGTCACGTTTGATTAATTTAATGCATTCTTGCTGAATAAAATTTATAATTTTTTTTTTGTTTTTGTTTTTAAAAAAAAAAATCTTACTGACTTTTCAATGGTTCAACTTTAAGTTAAAATTTACTAACAATAATAATTTAATGAATAATCAAATGTAATCTTTTGCAAATATCAACATTAATATCCAGTTTTGCACTGTATATTTTTATGTTGTCATACCTAAAAAAAAACATTGAAAAAAACATTAACTTTTAACATTCATTTTAGTTTTTAGTGTTTTATTTTTAATAAATAGGATAGAATTTGAACACTGGCTATTTAAGAAAAGAATATAAGTTTTAATATCAGTGCATCCCTATTTCTAAGTAATCAGACTTATGAATGATTTTCAGCTGGCAGATGTAAAACATGCACAAAAAAAAAAATCCCACAGACCTACATTAAGTCATATCTAGGGGCCAGACTATTATAGAAACTTGGAGGTACCTCCGTGAAGTTGGCCCCCCACCCAACGCAAAACGTCGGCAAAATAGTCTCAATCGTTTGTGCTCCGTTTGTGCTGTAAAAAATTTATTTTGTGCTGCTTAAACGCACCTTTTCAAATGGACCACAATTAGAGAAGATTTTTTTTTTTTAATTGGTTTGTTTAATAGTAGACAAGTAAAGATAATTAATTAAATCTAAGTAAGGTAAACTATTGGATTTTACAGTGAGGAAAGCACATCCAAAAATGACGGAGTAGCCTATTATAGTATTCATTTGTGCATTTTTCAATTGTTTATTAAAGGTGCAAAACGTCATAAACAAAAATCAAAAAAATTCGATCAATATTTTGATCGAATATCGAAATATCGAATATCGAAAAACAAAAATCAAAAAAATTTATATTATACTTTTTCGGGCAGCATTTTGTGTACGGTTCTAATTTCAAATTTGGTTTTCAGGATGGCATTTAAAAATACAACAATCCTTCTTTTTTCATTTTTTTCGTCATGGTTAAAAAAGGAAAAACGAATGGATGCAAAAGTATAGGCTACACGGACCTAAAAATACAACAACCCTTCTTTTTTAATTTTTTTTCGTCATGGTTAAAAAAGGAAAGACGAATGGATGCAAAAGTATAGGCTACACGGACCTGGAAACAGTAGGCTATTGCATGTTTTATTTGTGTGCAGAAACAAAAATAGGCCTATGTATATCAAGTCTTTTTTTTTTTTTTTGTAAAGACAATGAAATAGGCCTAGTTTTTTTTTCCATTTAATTGGTCTAATTGAACGAATATGGCTACTAACAATTAAGTGACTGCGACTATTTCATGTGATTTGGTTTGCCGTTTGAATTTGACCTTATTACTTCAACTGTATTGTTAAAAAAAGACAGTAAAAACAAAAATACTGGTACAAACCAGCACAAACAAACGAGACTATTGGGGTAAGTTTGGAGCATGTGGGGGGCTGAGTGATCTCAAAATGATCATTAAATATTATTTTAATATCTAAAAAACCGAAGCAGCACAAACGAAACTTTTACCTGCACAAACCAGCACAAACGAAGCACAAACAAACAAGACTATTTGGGGTCATTTTGAAGCATGTGGGGGGCTGAGTGACCTCAGAAAATGAACATTAAATATTATTTTAATATCTAAAAAACCAAAGCAGCACAAAATAAAGCACAAACGATTGAGACTATTTTGCCGACGTTTTGCGTTGGGTGGGGGGCCAACTTCACGGAGGTCTTGGAGGTGAGCTCTTTGACTGCAACTGCATGTCAAAGCACATTAGACCACTCAGAACTCTTGGTGTTGTGATGTAGCTCAAATATCCTGACCAACACATATAATGACTTGTCTGTTTCTGCAGTTATATCTGGCAGCACCTGGAAATTGGATATGTCCAGGGCATGTGTGACCTGCTCGCTCCCTTGTTAGTTATTCTAGATGATGGTGAGTCTGTCTTTGTAAATCCTGCTCTTCTTCATCTGTGTTTTTAAGTCAGTGCCACTGTGCCACGATAAGTATGTTTAGCCTTTCTCATCTGTTTTCTTGGAATCTTTTAGAGGCCATGGCTTTAAGTTGTTTCACTGAACTAATGACGAGGATGAATCAAAATTTTCCTCATGGAGGTGCGATGGACACCCACTTTGCCAACATGAGATCTCTGATCCAGGTCAAACGTCTGCTGCAGACATTTTTCTCTAATGTTTGTTTAAAAACATGCCTTAAAATGTAAAACGTGGATGTGACTGATCTTTTCACTTTGTGTGTAATTAGATTCTAGATGCAGAGCTGTTTGAGCTAATGCATCAGAATGGGGACTACACCCACTTCTACTTCTGCTATCGCTGGTTTCTTCTTGACTTTAAAAGAGGTAATAATATCTTTTAAATAGTATAATGAGAAAAAATATATAGTTTTTAAACTGCCATTGAAAACTAGCATGCAATGAATATAAAAGTGACATTTGAGAAGAAATGTCTTCTATTAGTTCTCAACTGCAATGAAATGAAGCCATATTTTGCTTAATGAATGTTCAGTCCCCTAATTAGCAATTGCAACGCCCTCTTGTTGATTGTGACTTAGTAATTTACAACTTATTATAATAATATTAGGCTAAGCACAAAGCTTTACTCACGTTAATGGTCATGTGCTTTATATGAGAAATATTAAATTTCATTAAAGGGATAGTTCACCCAAAAATTAAATTAGCCCATGATTTACTCACCCTCAAGCCTTGCTAGGTGTATATGTATATGACTTTCTTCTTTTAGACAAATCCAGTCTGAGTTATATTAGAAATTGTCTTTGATCTTCCAAGCTGTTTAATGGCAGTCAGCGGGTGTTGCAGTTCATCAGTCCAAAAGAAGTGAATGCATCCATCCATCCATCCATCCATCCATAATAAAAAGTGCCTCACAATTTTCATTTTTGGGTGAACTAAGCCTTTAAAGCCCTGTTATATTAAAAACTAAAATAGGAGAACCTGTTTATGGTTAAGTTATACAGTATTGTAAATACTGAAACATGATTTTCTCCAGTGATGCTTTGAGCCTCTTATTTATTTAAATTTGAACTATAGGCCTGACAAAAAAGGTACTATCACCTTCTTTGCCTAACATACATATTTCAATTCCTCAGAGTTGGTGTATGATGATGTGTTTGCTGTTTGGGAGGCCATCTGGGCTGCTAAGTGTGTCTCCTCCAGTCATTTTGTGCTCTTCATTGCTCTTGCATTGGTGGAGATATACAGAGACATCATTCTAGAAAACAATATGGACTTCACAGACATCATCAAGTTTTTCAATGGTAAATATATATTCATTATACACCCTGGCATGGTAACATAAATCTCAATGTCATGAACCTCTATTAAAAAAAGGTAATATAAAGACATCAGCAACAAGCATATAAGACAGCTATATAACCTAACCTTCACGGGCATTTCAAATCTAAAGAAAAGAGGATTGCGTAACCAAAATTCACCTCCATAGTTAATATTAACAGCAGAGTACAAACACCATTCAATTTCACAACCTGTTATGAACATCTGTTGCTTCTCATGTTTATGGAGAACTAGGAATGCCATTTCAAAACAAAAAGAAGGAATCAGTTATCATTTCATTAAAAATACATTTTTTACATTTTCAAACTGACAAACAAATACACATTAAATAATTTAAAATTATTCATGTTCAATTGTAGTTAAATGCAACAGTGAATAATTTTCACAGATTACAATTTTTTTTTAAAGGGGTCATATGATGCGATTTCAATTTTTCCTTTCTCTTTGGAGTGTCACAAGCTCTTGGTGCATAAAGAAGATCTGTAAAGTTGCAAAGACTAAAGTCTCAAATCCAAAGAGATATTCTTTATGAAAGTTAAGAGTCAGCCACACCTACCTAAAACGGCTCGTTCTAACACGCCCCCACATGTCTACGTCACGATGTGGGAAGATTTGCATAACGCCGCCCAAATGTTCACGCAAAGAAAGAAGGCGTAACTTTTATTCTCGCTGTAGTATTGTTGTTGCCGTCGCCATGTCGTGAAGGCGCTGTGTGTTTCGTTGTGAAAGCGAAACTACTTTGTTTGGCCTTCCAAAAGAGGACGATATCTGCTTCGTCATGCCTGGAGCTGATCCGTGCTGGTTGCTGAGGAAATACTACAACTTTGCGCTGTGGTCCAGCCCGGGGTCGTCACATGTGGTTGCCGGAAGCCCTCCGGACGCTCCTTCGTTGAATCCGCCGGCCGCGCCGTTTTTTTATGACCCCTTTAATAACATTTTTTTTTTTAATTTAAAAAAGTTATTTCTTTCTTTTTTTTAGCTACTCTTGGATGTACTCACAATTACAATAATTGCTTTCTCATATCCCGGATTATGTCACCTTTTGTTTTTTCAGAAATGGCTGAGCATCACAATATCAAGCAAATTCTGACTCTGGCTCGAGACCTGGTGTGCAAAGTGCAGACACTTATAGAGAACAAGTAACTCTGAAGCCTCTCACCTCTGTTGTTTATCGTGTTCACAATGTAACCCATCAGCCCTTGCTACAAAACAACAGGGAACATTTGGCCAAAGCTTAATGAGCTTCAAGTATATGGTAACATTTCCAATGCCAAATATCTTGATCTACCTGGAATCAGTCAGTGCACAATTTTTAACAGAGTCATCTGGCTCTTTAATCAGGTTTTACTGAACATCGTAGTACATAAAATTTTATAAGCAGATGCTGCTAATGAGTGGTCATTCACTGTTAGACATGGATTTTTATCCTGTGTCTAAAATGCAGTCAGGATTACCAGTCACTAGTGACTCATAGGCTCTATTCCAAAACCTAGTGAGCTGTCTGCTGCCTACTGCCTACATAAACTGAAATTTCTAATTTCATTCCAGTAGAATTTGGTGTTCGTTTGTTGCTAAGCCAACAACATGATATTCATACAGTATATAGCACACACACACATACTGGGTAGAATAGTCAGTTTAAATCAGATTTAAACTTTTATTGATACTTTTCGGTGAAAACGAGTATTTATAAACATTTTCTTTATTCATGTGATGCTGCCTTAAAATTTGACCAAAAGAACATATCTTAAAAACAGCATAATGTTGCAGAAGTGTGCCTATGATGCCTTAAAATGCTGCCTATGTAAGCAGCTCACTAGGTTTTGAAACAGAACAATAAAAGTTCAGGGGTTCAGGTCAAGTGCATTTTACTGCTAAGAGACAGTCACACTAGATTTCATGCTCCATTCACTTTCACATATATGGAGTGCACATATATACTCTACTGTTCAAAAGTTTGGGGCCAGTCTGATTTTTTTTAATGTTTTTAATTTAAATTTTCAGCAGCCATTAGTCAGTGTCTTTACTGTGAGTTGTTTCACTAAATCAGATCAGGTTATTGTATCACACAGTATATTATTGGACAATACCAAGGAATGCCGCTAGGTATTAGATTTAGAACAGAGAAAAAACATCAGTAAATTGTGTATTTCTTTTCTTTGTGTTACAGAACTAAATAATGATTTGGGTTTTCCATCGGTTTATGTAATGTTTGAGTCAGTGCTGTGTTTCAGTGCATTGGTGTCATGTTTGCAGTCACCTTATGAATATCTGGCATTATAGGATTTATTTTTCAAATTTGATGCGTCTGTGTGTGTGTGTGTGTGTGTGTGTGTGTGTGTGTGTGTGTGTGTGTGTGTGTGTGTAGACCAGGACAACTCACAATCACTACCGCAAGACCTTGTCTGCTTGATGTATTCTTGCTGTTTGTGGACTGTACAGAAAAACACATGCTATATTTATTATATAGAGAGAATCTATATTATTAACTTTGGTGTCGTTGCCTACATGGTTCTCAGAATGCACACTAATATTGACACAAAGAAATGAAAATCATCAGTGCTCTTATTTTTCGTTATGAAATTGTTGTATAAAATGCACATTGTGTTTCTTCATCCTCTAACCACTCTCCTCTGCTATAGCTCTTATATTATAATACCTTATAACATGTTGTAATCACAATGAAGTATTGATCCTATGATCAAACCAATACAGCTATGAGTCAGAAACCTTTGGTTGATCAGATGTATCCACAATGAGGTGCAATCGCTAAAAGTGTATCGAATCCCAAGGATCATTCTTTATGTATCTGATCTGTAACACAAGGCTAAAAATTACCATTTAGGCAAGAATAGTAAAGCAAATCAAAGCGTATTCCAGACTCCTGTGAACACAATTTATGTGATCTGATATGAGCAGATATTAATCATTCTCCTGCATTGAATCTTGTTGATTTCTTCTTGTGCAAAATCGATTCTAAAAGGAGAAAAAAAATAATTTATAATTTGTAATGTGTTTCGCATTTATTTAAAACTGAATGTATGCATTTTGTCTTTTTTTTATGTAAATATTGTTACTGCACTGTGGTCAATTACTACAAAGTGTTACATTCTAAATATATATATATTAAATGGTAAATGTACTTATTTAAAAAAAAAAACTAAAAATGGAATTGTTCTTATTTTTCCAACAAATATAATCATATTCCTGCTTCTGAAGGCAATTAAATGTGCATAGATGTGTGTGTGTGGTGTGTGATTAATTTCTCTTTTGTTTTATTTTCATGCTATTACAATTAGGATATTGTCACGGTATGTGGTTGTAGTGAGCGCACGGAGAAGGAGTAGAAGTAAAGGAGTCTTTAATTATAACTTAAAACACAAAGAACTGAATAGCATCAACACACATCTTCCATTTCTGAAGATTAAACCGAGACAAAGAAACTCAGGAGAACACAGGGCTTAAATACTGAACCAAACGAGGGTCTAATGAGTAAATTAAAAAGGAACAGGTGACTGACTAATAACGAGAACAGGAACTGAACCAAATTAGGGCAGACAGGAACTAAACAGAAACAAACACATGACAGATATTTTATTAGAATTGAATTTATAATAAAATTAATGAAATGATCAAATTATAAATGTGATGAAATTATGAGTATGTTATTATATATAAATTGTGTTTTTATTCTTTTATGTTATTTGAATCTATAATGTTTTATTTAAAAATATGTAATTTTAATATAAAAATAATTTTATCATATAAATTTATAATTAGATTGATTGCTATTATTAACAGCTTGTGTGCAAATATAAATACAGAATAGGCACATACATAGTCAGACAGTAGATTCTTGCATTGCCTGTGCCTACTTGCCTTTCAAAATGGTAGATTAAAAAAATGTATCGCCCGAACAGTGACTTGAACCCTGGACCCTCAGATTAAAAGTCTGATGCTCTACCGACTGAGCTATCCGGGCTCTCGCGAAAAGTACCCACAGTCCCTTCTGAGAAGATACTCTATAAAAACTCAACTTCCGGAAAAAAAAGAGGCTTTTTTTTTGGTAGGAGGTCTCTAATTAGGTGTCCTTCGCAATACAGACATTCTTATAATCGCGTTTTAATTCTGTTCATTCGACTCTGCGCGCGCAGTAACGTGACATACGTAGGAACATCATTTTAACATGTTCTGTAAATGTGCAGCGCGAGCTTCAAGGGCGCTGCGGCCTACGCATCCTCGGTGTGGAGTGTTGACGCTGCCCGCTCTAAGCGACACTGTGTCGGCCAGCGGAACGTCCTGGTCACATTGGACATATAAACGGGAATCAAGTAACTCTGCCTGGAGTTCCAAGGTAAAGCGTGATTAATTTGTATACCATTGTGTTGGGTTGAATAAATGTGTAAGATGTAAATTAACCTATTATAGGTGAACAAATATTTTATGTTGAACATATTATGCAACGCTAATATAAATATTTCGCACTTTGTTCAACTCTTCAGGTTCCTCAGATACCCACATGGGAGCCCGTAGCTGAAAATCAACTTCCACCGGTAATGCTTCTTTTGCACACGTTTAAGTTATATAGCTCGTGTTGTACACATGCAATAAACCTTTACTAAAATTAATTATCCATTAATTAAAAATATAATTATTAATTCATCAGCGATTATAACCTATAGGTTTTATTATAATAAAAGTGTAGTGACTTGTTTTTTGGCGTATTGATTACCATTTGTATAACTACAGTTTTACTACAAATACCATGGTTAAACAACGGTAAATTTGTGGTTACCATGGTTTAACTATAGTAAGCATGTGTTTTTTTCTGTAGTAAAACCATGGTTAATTTTCAGAAGGAATGTGCAGTAGTGGACAGTCGGGTAAAATGTGCACCACTGACAATTTTGTCATATCACCATATATTTCAAGAAGCCTAATTGACAACCTAAGCTAAAAGTGGCACGACTGGAGCATGGTAACAGAAGCCCACATAAAGAAAAAAACTTTACTTTGACAATCTTTACAATGTTTCTTGAACCTCCTAGTACAGGGCAGCAGAAAACATCGTTCAGAAACTGAGCAGCACTCAACCTTACAATTAAACTGTTGTTTATGTGAAAAGTTTTGCTTGAACGGCAATTATATTTATTAATAAATAATATTATTTCTGTACATAGATTATTTTGTACATTCGTAATTTGTTTATTTTGTACATACGTCACACACACATACACAAAGTTTAATAATACTTGGCAATAAATCTCATTCTGACTTATTATTAATAAAAATGAAGAATTTTTGTTTTCCTGAAAGAAGTAACTATATAACCATGGTTAAACTTTTATTTGCAGCCAACAAGAGTCTCGCCAGATTTAGTGGACAAGTTGGAGAGATTAGCCCTTGTTGACTTTGGCAGTAAAGAAGGGGTGGACTGTCTGGAAAAAGCCATTCGTTTTGCTGATCAACTTCATGTCATTAATACTGATGGTGTGGAGCCGATGGATTCAGTTCTAGAGGACAGGTATTTAAGAATCCTGCTGAAGCTCACATCAGCTCATATAAGTTATGTGACAGTGTGCTAGTTGTTATGGGTGTGACGTCCAGTCAGTTTAGGGGTATCCATTGAATAAAGACCCTTTTTGATGGTGTTTTCTTTGGTTGACTGTTAATATTGGTTGACTGTTAACAAAATGGTTACAACCCTGCTCTTCCCAACCCCTCCAAGTATGTTTGCTCAAATTAATTAATCAACATGTCGCCATTTTATAGGAGCTAAACTTTTTCTTTGAACTTCCTGTTGTGCACAGAGAACTGTATTTGAGAGATGATACAATTACAGAGGGTGAATGTGCGGAGGAGCTGCTCCGGCTGGCCAAACACACAGTAGAGGAGTACTTTGTTGCACCTCCAGGTAAAAAACTAAACTAAACTGTAAAAAGACAAGCCGTTCTATCAGAACTTACAAAACAATTTAATCTCCATCCAAGCATGTAGTATTGAGGTTTGTATAATTGAATGATTTAACCTTGGATTCACTGTTTAAATTAAATTGTCGTATCAGAGTAGAACAAATGTGTCTTGGTTAACTTTGCTTTTCTAATTAATTGAATATGTGTACTGCTTATGAATAATCAGTCTTTTTTTTTTTTATGCAGGAAACATCCCACTACCTAAGAGAGAAGAGAGATCTGCTATGCTTAAACACTCTGAATTTTGACTGAAATGTAACATTGGCTCTGACTTGCATTATAATAAATATTTATTTTTATCTTGTATGCCACTCATGTTTTTTAATAGTGATCAAAAAAATAACAAAGCAAACACAAATAGAAATTCATTTCAATAAACAAATTTAAGAAATAACCAACAAGAAAAACATATTACAGAGAGTATCAATTAGGCATAATAATTAGATTAACAAAACTAAGAAAACTACAGAACAGAATAATCAAAAAATTGTTAGCAAATGTTTAATTAATATATGTTGATAATGTCGGATTATATTATATATATATACAGTGTATATGTGTGTGTGTGTGTGTGTGTGTGTGTGTGTGTGTGTGAACGTTTCAGAGTTTGATTCTGATGTTACTGAACAAGAATTCATTGTTTATTAAATTTGCTGAACATCCTGCTAGCGATTAGGTGGAATGGAAACCGAAAGTGACTATGTTTTCAGAAACGAAACATTATTGTTTGTGGGCGGGGCTTAAGTTGACGCTATAAATTCATGCCACCGTCCGGAAGACGTCATTGGCGTGATTTACCTGACTTCAGAATATTCAGCAGAACTTCAGATATGAACAGCTCGGTAAGCCGCGTAAGTCTTTTGAAAATATTGCACGTTAATATCATACAATACATTCATTAAATGTACGTACGACATTAATTATTTAAAAAATAAGCTGAGGATGCTGTAGTAGTTTTAAATATTTAATCATTATAACTAATATTTTGAAAGGTTTCCTTTAAACTAAAAAACAGATTAATCCATTTTGTACCATGTTGACTTTCGGCCTTGAGTAGATTCATTCCCTGCGTCCCAATGTTCATACTAGCTATCCTAAATAGTATGTGAGATTAGAATTAGTGTCCCAAAGCTAGTATGCTGAAAAGAGTATGCCAAAAGTCCCCGGACGGTCTAGTATTTCAAGTCGGTTTTTGAAGTGTGGATCCGTGCACACTCTAATGCAGGGTTCCTCAAATCTTGCCCTGGAGGGCCAATGCGCTGCAGAGTTTAGCTCCAACCCTGATCAAAGTCACCTACCTGTGATTTTCTAATGATCCCGAAGACATTGATTAGCATGCTCAGGTGTGTTTGATTAGGGTTAGAGCTAAACTCTGCAGGAAAGTGGATCTCGTG